ACCCCAAACAACTTGAAACGGTGGATTATTTAAAGAAGACTCATTGTATCCAGTTTTGTTGCCAGACAATCATACAGTTTGCTTCAAGTGCTGTTTTGCTCAAGCCATTGCCACGCGTTGGTTAAATTATGGCCACCATGCCCTACGTGAGGGAAACAGTCGAGACTCGCCGCATTAGAGGCCTCCCATTCTTTGACGATACCACTTTGCTCTTCTGTCTGCGTATTCTCTTAGGATAATGTTCTAGCGATGTAGTCGAGCAGTCGAAGGATGCCCATGCTGAGATGATGCCATCGAGGTGCTTGCCCTCGAGGGCGCGAGGGCCGGCCAAAATACGTGAAAAGCATGCGTCCTAGAGCTCGACCCCATTATTGTTGTTGCCGTCAAGCAGGTTCAGGATCATTTGCTCTTCAGGTTTTATAAACTTTGGGAGGTAACTTATATCAATCTAACTGGACGGCAGGGGACATGGAAGAGACTAGAGTGTCGGACTTCGCGTCTGTCGCTTGTACTACGCTACTTTTATACCGCAAGTCATTATCTGTCCTACACTATCAAACACAATCTGGGGTCAAGAAGACTTGTGAAAATGTTGATCTCGAGACTACAATTTCCAGGTACTGCTTAGTATCTGGTCTGCGCTGCCGTGCCGTCTCTTGAGAAGTTTAATGCTCTCTCTTATTTAAGAACAATGAAAGGAAAACATAGAGATAAGACCGTGGCAAAGTATTCTGATTCCCGGACGTGGAAGATTGTCAGACTGATTAGGATGTGCGTATGTTTTCTACTGTCCATATGTATGAGATAGCTGTCTTGATACAAGCCCAATGTGAAGAAGGATTAGATTGCGCAACATTTCCTGTACACGGATACTAGCGGCTTTAATATACTTGTGGGAACTCAGTCAAAATGAAGACATGCCCTCAAAGATTCCACCGCGGACGATTCGGAATTTGATGCTCATAGTTCAATATATAAGCTCTGCCTGCTTACCTCTCCCGATTTTAGGAATCAAAATCGACGAAAGGATTCTGGAGCCGCCTTGTGACGTTTCATGAATTACCATGTTGACTGCGATCCCCATATATGGACTGATGGAAGATGGAAAGTCATGTTATGTTGCTTATACAAGTTCATCCTCCGTCTACGCGGATATAAATACGGCGAAGTCAAAGCCGAAAGGCAGGTAGCGAATAGTTCTTCGCATGGAAAGAATGTTATTGGATATGTTTGTAGATACGACTTATATCATGATGGATACGAGACCTATTGTCGTCGATAAAGTTGGTCTCGCTCGGAAGCTGGGATATCCTCTGGAAACATTGGGCCACCTCATAAATGGGATACGATGTGGCTTTTGAAAACACATTGACTGTGACTAGTAACAGAAATCACATTGCTACAAAACTGAAGCTTGCTTTCTAACGTTTAAAAAAGTTAAGCAGAATGTACTGAGCCTGGTCAGGATTTGCACACCCAAAGTTGCATGCACTTGATTGAGAGGCTGTGTTCAAGCAACGAGGACTTTGAGGCTTGACGATTAGGCCACCGAGTACGTATAAAAACACTGCTGTTTATCATCTCCGCCGAATTCATGAAGAATACTTGAAGAGAAGGCGTACTGAATTCTTCCAATACGAAGACATACCAACCGACGTGCACATTGCGTGTTTTGATGATTCTGCGCGCGAATTCGACTTACAAGCCAACGATCTCCAATTATCGCAGGACTGATTTAGAGAAGCCGAAACGCTTCAGACTAGTTACTTTTATAATCGGAGAGAAACTCTTTCTTGGTCTACTGTAGATTGAGTCACTAGCCTGATAAACTGTTGAAGCCCCTCATGGAAATCCCGCTCATAAAGCGTGCTTTCCGAGCTGCCTCCGAGAGCGGCTGTTGTTCCAAGGCTGAGGCACCTCTACTATTGAATATCGGAGTAGTGATGTTTCAGAGTGACACACAGTGAGCTATTAGAAAGTGAATATGTGGCGCACAGAGGGCTTTTCCGTTGAAACTCGGAATCTCTCCCTCATCCCGAATTCCGACACTGAAGTTTCCGGCAACCGGGACTCGACACGTGTGGGCTCACGTGTGTTTGAGCTCATATAAAGAGGTCAGTTACGGCCGCTCATGGATGGGCAGAGCTCAGACAAGCTCTACCTGCCCTTGCGCCTTATTGTCTTTGCGGCTTCAATATCTCCCGTCTATGGCAGTGTTGAATGCGTGCTAACAACCATGTCGTTGCTGTGATGCATTATTCCCGCGGCTCCGATAGTCATTTACACCTTCATGCCTGAATTGTTCTCGGAATCTTTGGACTCTCGGTTTCTTGGCTTGAAAATACGTAGTTCGAGTTTTGGAAATTAGATGGACCTTTGACAAATCAATTCGCATTACATTTTCTACAGCTGGTTGATCCAGATGAAGACGTTCTTGACCTGTACAGTCACTTGATTTTCTCTACTACGTGCGTCATCAATGGTAGAATAGACCGATCATCTTCCACGACTTCAGAGCCACGCGTTAAGTTCAATTGATTCGTCCAGTCTACTAATTTTTGCTTTTGCAACGGAAACTCTCATCGCATTGTAACCTCATCTGGTGTCATCTTGCTGCTCTGACGGCTCTCATTATCCGTCTAGGCATGTGGGCGCAAATATTGACGGCTTCAAACAGCCGGAAGTTACCGCATGCCACTCCCAGTTGGTCTGGTTGGGCGCTATTTCGAGCAAGTTTAGTCAATGTTCGTACACCCTGGTTGACATCTCGAGGCGGATTCGCTGCATTCTCACAACCCGCAAGGAAGTACGCAAGTCATCATGCTATTCTCCTGAGTGCTGCATCCGGTTATCCGGGTTCCGCGGGCCCTCCTCCACACTTTCTTTTGGGTATTTGGGTAACTTCAGTGTTTAGATGAGTCGCCGATCTTCACTGCGGGCTACCCAAGGTGACGAATCTCTCCCACATTCCCCGGGGACATGCCTGCGCGCTTAAGTTCAATTTACTCCATTTAGCCTGAAAACTTGGCTCTTTTTAGCGTGTCATATTCTACGCGTGCAGCATGGCTTTCCTAGTAATCTTGACAGAGTCAAATTATTCAAGGCGATGGGAAGCCTTGTTTACGTTTTGTTGTTGTCACTATGGTATCACAACATTGTGCTATGAAATCACAACATCCGGTTTCTTGTCATGACTGCCACCACCTTTGTAACCACCACGCCAGTGATGCAGTAGTATGACAGAAATTTTGTTGCATGACATCTGCGAGAAACCAGCTTAGGCTTTCTCATTATTTCGAAACCGAACGGTAGAAACATCGTAGAGTCTGCCTTACCTCTAAGACTGAAACCCCCGGCCAGTAAACTCCTGTCAGAATTCGTAACCTCCGTCCAAGCGCAGCGGGTACCAGCTTTCAGCTGAACTTCCGACGAACCACCAGTTTCTCAGAACCCTACAGCAATCCCTATTGTGATGACGACGCACAGCGATGCAGTGAAAAAACACTCGACAAATGGATAGCCTGTTGTTGAGGGGGTTATGATGTGTACGGTGCCGATCATCCGATGTTCGAGAACAAGTCCTCCAGTCCCAGTGAGGGCTTCGTCATCTACACCGCCGCAGTCGATCACCATATAGCGGGTGAGTTAATAGTTGGTCAACGCAGAAGCGGCAGTCGGTGCCAGCCACAGCGATTCTGCTCCAATGGTGACCGAGGCAAAAGTGGTCCTCGTCTGCCCTAGAAGGCTTCGCGCTAAGGCAGTCTGCCAACAGACTTCTGGGGGGAAATTGGAAGCATAATTTTTAGAGCGCAACTTTTTCTGCTGCGGCTGGCGTTGTGGGCTCACTGACGACTGCTTCTGGCAGGTCCCCCGGTCTCAGAGTCTCTATCGGGACAATGGACCGCGAAGAATTGGGCATCGTAGAGTGTTGACCCGCGTGGACGGAGGGGCTTCCGGGCCGTGGAAAGGGGAAAAAGGGCAAAAGGGCAAAAGGTTCTCCTGAAAAAGTTGTCCCCTCAAGGCACAGGGGTTTCCGGGACCTATTTTGGGATGTGCGGGTGGGGGAATAGGCGTCGGGAGCCGCAAAGCTTGGGAGGGTGCTAAGCAGGGGTCTCCCTCTACGGGAAGTCCACCACGGACCGTCTTCCTCCTGCGCCACAGGGCTGTCAAGCCAACGGCTGCAGTACCGAGATCGTGGTTCATGCGTTTTCCGTCTCTTTTGTCGTGGGAATCGGACGTTGGTCGGTCGTCCGCCACACGGGATACCCATCGCTCATTCCGTCCCGATGACATCTATCGATTGACTGCCCAGATGGATATCCCGGCACGAGAACTCGCTCTCGCCCCAGTAATACTGATTCAGGAACGGGTTTGTAGCAATTCAACCATTGAGTGTCTCTTTACACTGGGATATACAAGCCAGAAAGGGATGTTTCACGCCTTTAGCTAAGCCATTCAGACGAACTAAGGAAACACGCCCACATCCATGGGCTTGTTCCGTGAATTCCCTGGCAATGTGGACTCTCAGCATGATCCCGAACCGCCACATTATCAGATAATACAACGCATCTTATCGATTACCCCTGGCGGATCGTGACGAAGACCTCACGTCTACAGGGTGACATTCGGGACCGTGCCCCAGTTACCAGCAAGGTTATCCGCAGAGAGGCTGAGTGTCGAGCCGCTTCGACGTCGTCGTAAGCTTCACCACATGGTGGACTTGCAGAGTTGAACGTGGTCCAACAACGTGGATCACCAAGACATCATCTTGATGTTTGCTGTATTCAGGAGAAGCTCATCTCGAACATAAAAGACATCCTTTTCCACCTCCAGATTCGATTTTCTTTTCTCCTCATCACACAGCACACTCAAGCATCAATCACTCAACTCAACAACCAAACACTTTCCGCTCTTCAGCACCAACCACTCTCTCACACTTCACTCACTCACTCAACAACTTTTTCAAGTTCTTCAACTTTTCCAACCCACCAACCTTCAAAATGCAGTTCACCATCGCCACCATCATTGCCTTCGCCGCCGCCGCCCAGGCCGGCCCCCTCGCTCGCCGCGACCAGTGCAACACCGCTCCCTCCGCGGCTGCCAACGCCGACGTCGCTCCCTTCTCCCAGCCCACTGCTGCCACCGCCGACGCCTGCCAGAAGCTCTGCGAGGCTGATGCCTCTTGCCAGGCCTTCGTCTTCGGCCTCCCTGAGTCTGGCAACACTCCTCTCTGCTGGCTCTACAACGTTCCCGCCGCCCAGATCCCCACCCAGTCCAACGCCAATCTGAAGGTCTTCGACAAGGCCTGCACTGGTGTTCCCACCACCGCCCCTACCCAGGCCGACAACGGCTCCTCCAACAACGGCGCCGCCACCAACAACGGTGATGCCAACGCCAACAACGGCCAGAACCAGGACCAGCCCAAGAAGCGCAACGTCTGCGGCGCCGCCCCCACCGGCCCTGCCACCAGCTCCCCCACTCCTCTCCTGACCCGCGAGGACATCACCACCCAGGACGCCTGCCTTGCTCTCTGCAAGCAGACCTCTGGCTGCCAGGCGTAAGTCTCAGACTCTTCTCACTCCTCTCTCACAGACATCAGACTAACAACCTTCTCAGTGTCGAGTTCGGCAAGCCCTCCGCCAACGAGCCCGTTGAGTGCCGCCTCTTCAACGTCCCCGCCTCCCAGCTCCCTGCCCCCACCGACGGCCAGACCTTCGTCGCCTTCGACACCGCTTGCTAAATGCATTCGCCACAACCTCGAAGCCTAGCCAGCCAGCTCAACGACCTCTGAGTTCGCGACGATGAAGCCGATCGGGCCTGGCAGCGACTTCGCCAACTATGACATGACATCAAACCAGCTTGGGTGTTATGGGGGATGACGGATGATGTACACCACAAAAACCATTTCTTTTCTCTTTCTCTCTCTCTGTCCTCTTTGTCTTTCCTATGGTCACGGGCAACGTCTCTCTTTTTCCTTTTTTCTCTGAATCTCCTATAGAACATCGGGTCAAGAGCATAAGTGCCGTTTTGAATTGAAAATCGAAGCTGCTGTGCGCTTTCTTTAAAACTTTGGATCCAAATGCATCGGTGATATGACAGTGACTTGTAACTTGGAAGCCCAATTGGCTTTATAAACTTCAGAAGCTTAACCGCGCAGCAATACAAGCTTTCTTCACCTGTTGACTTTGGGGTCTTCAGCAACTCTCTCAAGCTCAACACCAAAGTCGAGGGGTTTCTCGACGGATGCAGCTGCCACCAGAGCAGCCACGCCTGAGTACTGGGTTCCGACATCCAGTTCAGTGGTGTTGAAGGGGCCAGTCCAGCGCAAGGAGGTCTGTCCGTTTCTTGAACCATATCCCCACAAGGCCTGGGCGTTCCGTTCCAAGAACTGTCGATAGCTAGGGTGAGGACTCCTCTTATGTAGCGTTGCTAGCCCACCAGTAAATATCCCCTTGAACAACCTCTGATCCCCATCGCATGGTTTGCCAGTCGTCTCGCAAGGCTCACGGAGAATACCCCGCTCGTTGACCAAATTTCTGTTCTTCAGCACAGCCTGCGCAATTCTGTTTGCATCATCCAAACAGCACCCACCAGGCGTAGCTTTGTCAAGTTCAACAAGTGCCCCGAGAATAACCCCTTGGTTGTACGTCCAGGTTGTTCCCATGTCGTTCTTGCAACGATCATTCAACCCATTATTGATGATTCCTTTCGAGTTGATCATACCGCTGTTTCTGAACCAGGACCACCCCTTTTGTGCCCCTTTCAGATACTTGCTCTTCTCCATGGCCGTGGATGCGCGGTTCGCGAGGTGGGCTGCGACGCTGAGATAGAGCTCGTTCTGAATGGCCCCGAGATACGGATGAGGATCGCTCCTCGTCCATGGGATGCCGCCATCACACTTCGTTCCCCAGGCATCCGTCATGTTGTCAAATATCGATTTGGCCGTGTCAAGGTATTCCGGCATAAAATGTTCAGTGCCCTGAGTCATATCTGAGGCCTTGATGAACGCGAGAGCCCACCAGCCGCCGTCGTCGTAGTAGTCATTGGTGAAGTTTCCACCGCCCTTACTCTTGTTCGTTTCGTACGTATGCGCGACAATTGCCGTGACATTCGACTTGAAACTCGTTTCGATCGTCGCGAGATCGATGAGAGCCGTAAGACATCGAGCGGATTGCCACCAATGATTCTCATCCGGCCAAAGGCCGAGACTGGCGTTGTAGTTCCTCGTTTGCAAGACATTGGCTGCCTGCAGAGCATGCTTCAGGAAACTAGACTGCACGACTGACTGGATTTGATTCAGTCCTGAAAACGAGAGGAACCTCGCGAATAGCATCCTGTCAGCCTTAGGCGATATGTGCCATTCCAGCTTGTGGTCTTTCCTGTTGTTGATCGGGTTTGAAAAAATCTAAGGTTTTCATGTTTCCTCCATGGAGTTTGCGTGTTCCCGACTTCCCCATTTCTTAGCTCAATATGATGATAAAGTTTCACACTGTCTCTCAACACCCGACGTGACCGCAACCAAATAGACTTTCGGCCTGCAATGATCAAGCTTTCAATACAAAAGCCAAACCTGTAGCTTGTGTCGTCTGTTCAGAGCAATTAGCTGAGGTTTTGTCGGGTATCTTCAAACTTAATTCCATACCTAGGCAGGAATAAGGGACTGAACCTGTTGCATATCTTCGGTAATACAACCAAGCTGCTGCCGTGCCGCATCATCATGCGAGTATACATCACAAATAGTTCCAAGAATACCAGATGTTCTTGGATTTCTCTGACAGCGCTGGAAGAACCTCAGCTTGCACTTGGAGGTATCGACCAATACTTATGCCTCCGCGCGGCGGAAACCCCATGGGCAGTCGCAATCATAGAAAGCATGAGAGGGAAGGGGTACATTGGCTGTGTTAATTTCTGACGAGAATCTGACTACCACAATCTTTTACTCACAAATTACGTCAATTCGTTCTTTTAAAGCTGTCTCGGCAACCCTTGAACTCGAACTAAGAGCAGACCGTACAGCAAATGGATAGACAAGCCGGCCGAGTAAGCGGGCGTTCAGGGAGACTTATATTTGGCCTGTCACTCTCACTGTCGTTTGTTATACAGCAAAGAAATACATCAAGCTTTTGCATGTGACGGAAAAGAATGTTTCTCTTTCTGAAGTTTCAGTCTTGGTAGCTTCTTGGTCGGTGATCAATCCGTCCGCAGCACTTTCGTCGCCTCCAGTCTCCAAACCATTCCCGCATTATTCAACGTTGTATAGAAAGAGGATAATGAGAAATACTCATTTATAAGGAGTAACCCATCCCCCGTAACTGTGAAGACGACACAGGCTGTTGATTGAAACAACGGAGCGCTTCCGTTTGAGCTAACCTGAAGCCTAAAGCACTCACGACAGGCTACATTTTGCTTGCAGTATATCGGTGGTTTTCAGCCTTCTGGTATAATTTATACCAGCATAACGGAGTCTTTACGTTTCAGAGAAATGTCTTATAAAAGGTCTTGTGATGTGCGGCTAGTAATCTCCCATCAAGAATGTTTGCTTCACCGCATTCTAGTCATTAGGCTTTCACAAAGCGAGCAAAGAAACCACGGTTACAATAGGAGTTGTAGAAAGCACGAGGGGCTAGATCTTCGATTACGCATTTGTATTCTCTGTGATCTATGTCCGGTAGTTGTTTATTGTATAATGAATACCAATGTGCTGCAGTTCCCAACCAAGTCCAAGTTTTCTGGCTCAGCAGTTGTCAGCAAGAATGACCGGAGCATCCAGTTGTCTGGGGGGATTCTCAAGAACGTCATTTGCGTATGTCACGCTGATTGTTGTGAAGCCAAAAAGTGTGCTTTGCAATGTTTTTATATCGCAGAAGTCAAGAAAAACTGGCATCAAACACACACTCAGTCATTTTCTGGTCGTGTCTATCAGATTCCGATGGCAGGGCGGAAATATTTACCTATTTATTAGAGCATTTATATCGCAAACTTTCTGGGTTTAGATTAGCAGACAAAGAATAGTAACTCTTCAGGCTCTATGGTTCAATCTAGCAGCGAACTAGTTTGATCGAGGCCCTCCGCTCGCCTCTAAGAGAACCGCATAGAGGCGGCCGGTTCAACACTACCCGTTTTCGAGTAGGTCTTCCCCGTCATTCTTCATCATCGGGTGTAGATTCGGAGGTAATAATCACCGAAGGGAAGAAGACGTGAGCATGGATGTGGGCACGCGAGATGAGTACGTTCCTGGCTACCTATGCAGCTCTAGTTCCCTCAACAGATAGCCACTGTGTGGATGGCACCCCATTGCCGGTGTTTGTAACCCGCAAGAATGTAAAGACAGATTGGTCTTAAATGCCCAAAGAAACGTGTAATAGTTGCATGGGAGCCAGTCACCTTACGACACGACGAGGTTCTCCAAGTACTTAAGAGACTACATACAACAACATATGGCCAGGAAAATAGTACCATAATTTGATGATAGCTTCAATCAGACTGGAAAGCAAAGCGAGTTGCCTCTCGAAGACCTCAAGATGTTATACGCTTACGAAAACAGAATCACCAACTTGCACAACTCACAGCGCGTCTCTTTCTGTCCGTTTCTCTCGGCATATTATGTGCAGCGGAATAAGAGGAGGACTCTAGCAGACTGACCATCACGATGTGCATAACCAAACCCTGATTTGTCCGCATGTCAACCACATACCTGTCAAGGGATAGTGACATTGCCCGATTAGAAGAAACCTTTCCTGAGGACATCCTCGATTGCTTGTGTCTGCTCTAACAAACTTCTGTCTGTTAAATTTAAATAGGCAGTGACATCAGTCTCGAGACCTCTCTCCGAACTTCTGCTAGCCACGAGGGAGGCCACTGGCCCAGCAAACTGCCAAGCCCCTGATTCCACACCCGCCTTCTTCGATAGATTAGACAACTCGCAAGGCAGATATAGAACGTCTTTCTCCCACTGTTATTGAGAAGACCAGAGCAATGAAAGTAGTGGCGAATCATTTCATTAGCAGCAATGAAACAATTCCGCTGCACATCCATCGCAAGATCCAAGCATCTAAACTAACCCATCCCCTACTCTGAAAAGCAAGCCTCCAGCCTTCCCACTCCCGCCCGTCACCCTTGCCGGCGCTCGGAATATATACACCAGAATACGCCCAGAGCACCAAGACGCTAGCTAGACATGCTGACTGAATAAGAAGTGCTGGAGGCGCTGCATGGGCTCTTGGGGTTTGCTCGGATCCATAACCTGACGAAAGCCTTTAGACCACCGGATTAAATTGCCTGCCCGAAATGATCGGCTGTCGAAACGTCGTTTTTATACCCCACTAAGGGCTCGAAAGGTACAGAATGGATGGCGGAAAAATTAGCAAGTACGTGCTAAACGACATCTCGACTGTTTCCAACACAAAAGGGAACAGGTCATTCTTGCTATCAAGATCATCTGTATTTCTTCGTCTCAAGGTACTTTCTAGCCCGAGATACTCGATACTAACTTAAAAGGTTCACGAAAACCACCTACGGCTTTGACCGAAAAGCCATGCAACACCTCTCCATAAGTTTCGTAAGCTTCCCCAGACGCAATCAGCGCCGCTTACACAGGTAGATATAACTATCTCCTAGACCGGAACGCCAATTTCTTTTTCATCCCCACGTCAGAGCCATTCACGTAATTCAGTTCCTCCTCTTACCATTACCATGGTATTAATAAAAATCAAGCTTTTGATAACCGCCCACGCGAAAACCGGAAACAAATGACGAGGCTACTGTCCTCTTCCGAAGCGAATGTCAAAGTCCTTGAGCACGCTCATGATACTCGCAGCCTCAACTTCGATGGGCAGCCGCGACGGGGAGGGCAGAGTCTGGCCGGGCTTGGGCGCGGCACGCAACTTAGGCAGCCACGAGCCGATATCGTCCGCGGCCTTCTCGAAGTTCTTGTGGCTGGACAAGGTCTGGTAGGCCTCGGCGCAGCTCAGACTCAGGCCGAGCTTTTCTTTGGAGGGAAGACGAGGAGGCGCTGACTCGGACTTGCAGCATCCGCCTCCCGGTCCGGCACCGCCGCAGCAGCCTCCGGAGCCGCCGCCCTTGCGCTCAAAATTTGCCGAGAGGGCGCGGCAGAAGAGGCCGGACTTGGGGTCAGCAAGGCACTGGGCGCAGGTTCCGGGGCCCTTGGGACCGCAGCCGCGGGAGATGGGGGCGGTGGGTTGAGTGGTCTGCGGACGAGGACGGAGCTTGACGGCTCCATCGGAGTCGATCTCCATGGGTGGAGGGACTGCGTCGTTCTCTGAGGGGGGAGGGGTAGTTTGCTGTGAGTAGGCGGGAGGAGGTCCGTAAGGGGTGGTAGCTGGGGGGCCGAGCGACATGGCATCTTCGGCGCAGACGCAGTAGCTTCCGTCCTTACAAAACCCACACGAGTCCTTGAGGGACATTGAAGGAAGTGGTTGGGGCTGGAGGATCTGAAAGGACTGCTGCGGCGGCGCAGGCGCCGGCTTCTTGGAGAACATGGCAGTAAAGTCGATCTCGGTCTCCTCAGCATGGGCCGGCTCGATGCGTGCACGCTTCTCGGAAGAAGTCACGGCCGAGGGAGAGGGTGCCCGCTTGAGATCTGACATGATGGCGCTCTTGATGGTGTCCTCGAGACACTGGCAACGACCGCCAAGGGTGCAGCCTCCGCAGTCGGCGAGGGGGGCCGCGAGAACGTCATTGGCACATTGGCAGTTTCCATCAGGGCCGCATGACCCGCAGCCAAACGGGGCCGGCGAGTCTTCCATCTGGGTAGAGTCCTCAGGGGACACGATTTGAGAGATTGAAAAAGGCTGGTTCGAGTGGCCAACCGAGGGAGTCGGGGGTTCGTGGTTCATGGTGACTGACGAGTCCCGGCGGATGGGTGACAGCTGGCGTCTGGCATTCGAGGGCTGATCTTGCATGCGTCGCTTCTGGCCTTCAAGCTCCGTCTCGGCCTTGACGCGGTCCTTCCTCTCGCGCTCCAATAGGGTCTCCAGCAGGACGCAGCGGGACTTGAAGGACTGCAGCTCCATCTCCAGACCGTGGACCTTGTCCTTGAGCTCCTTCTCGGTCTTCTCGTAGACATCGCGCTGCTCGTCGAGCTGCTCCTCCAGCTCGCCAACCCTGGCGGCCCTGCGCTCACGGAAGGCACGCTGGGCGGCACGGTTCTGGGCCTTGCGCTTGGTGGGGGGCGTATCGGTGGCAGGCTTGCGTCCGGGCTTCGGGCGGGGTGGGATGACCCATTCTTTGGTGGTCATGGACATCTTGGGAGCAGCCTCGGCGGGCGGAGGGCTGATTACTGAGGCCATGGACATCTTGTTGATGGGCTGGGGAGGCCTGGCTGAGATGGCGGGTGGTGCGGCGTTTGGTCGGATTGCTGGCAGCTGATGCGGGTGGGAGGCATTTGACGGACCGCTGCTGCCGGGAGTGGACGCACCGGGGGTCGAGGCCGTCGGCGAAGCAGCAGTTGGAGTAGAGACGGCAGACGAGGGAGCGGAGGGCGAGTAGACGCTGCTTCGTCGGATTTCGGTGGGTGGTGAGTTTGCGTTGGCGTTGACGACGGGAGAAAAGGTAGAGGAGGAGTGGGAAGAGGCGGAGGCGGAAGTGGAAAGACCTGAGGGCGCCATCATGGAAGGGACGAACTGGACGGACGGGCAGGTGCAGGTGGCACGCTCAGCAGGGCTACCGCAGGCGGGGATCGGTACGGGCGCTCATTCGCTGGCGGGCGTGGAGGGGTGGACACTGGCAGCTGGCTGTCAGGTGGTGGTGGGACCGTCAGGTGGTGTACAGTTGTAGTGGTAATTGTAGCGTGCCCGGCTTGCAGAATGTTGGTAGCGGGAGTTTAATTCCGAGGGTACGGTTCGGCGAAGTGGTGACGCTCGGCTGAAAGAGATAGGACGACGCTTTCTTGGTGTTTTTAAAATTTTGAGAGAAGATTGTAAAAGATGAGAAGAACAATCTCTTGCTGTTGTTGCGCCGTGACTCCTCGATTGCAAATGCTTTTGTTCTTGGACTGAGAGTCGGCTTTCCCTCTCGGAGCGGAATCGGCGATGTTGAGCTGATTGCGTCGAGATGCAGCGATCTGAGCTGATGCCGAGCAGATTTCCAGTAGACGACCCCTACAGAGACTGCACAGCTGATAGGCGCAGCGGGTGCGGGTGACGGGCAGGTCGAGCGAGGAGGGCTCGGAGACGTGGTGACTGAGTTGTCGTGTAAGTGAGGATTAGGAGTCTTATTGATCGAGAGAGATAACGATCAAAGACGGCGTGTAAGACGACAGTGTCGGAATGAGGAAACAAGGTCCCAAAAATTGACTGTTTTTTCCGGTGCTCGGCAAGCGGGCGGTGGGAGAGGAACGTCTGGTTGGTTTGGAGGGACCAGAAGCGACACGAGGCGATTGGAGGGAGGGAGGGACAGCTGGAGGGGAGAAGGGCGGACTGGACGGGGGGGTTTCGGGGGGACGACGACATTGAAAAGGAATTTTTGATCTGATTGATAAGATTACTCTGCTCGCAAACACCCCACTCAGGGCCAGCGCTAGCACTCTTTTTTTACACTGTTTTTCTCGTCTTCAGCCACTACTGCGGTGTCCCCAGATACGTACCCCCGGCTCCCACCCAGCTCTCACCAGGTGCACCCAGACACCCAGACACCACAACACCACAACGCCCACAGTATGCAGCCACTGGATACCCCAGGCACCTAACTAAGATGGGGTGGACGGAAATCTCCAGAGCCCAGTACGCCGGGCATGGCTGTGATGAGGACCTACCTGCTGCTGGGCCCCTGACCTGCGTGGTGCGTAGGTTGTTGTTGACCTTGGACGAAGTAATCGGGTCGGGTCATGGAACGGCGCATCGTTCGATGGCACAGGGCAGTGTCCGCCACTGTGTGTGTTGAGCCTGCGATCTCGGAACTTGTCCTCGCTGGGGCAGCACAGCCCGACTTCTCCCACGCCTGTCCTCAGGTAGTCCACACTCACCATACTACTGCGTAGTATGTGCCGCAAAACACGGATCACCGCGCCCGTTGACGAACGACACTCCACCGCAGCCATTGTCCTCAGTTTCCATGGCGTAAGATCCAACCAGAAACGAACCCCTCACCCGTCCACCACCGCCGTCTTCCAGTGCCAATCTTCACCACATTCCGAGAATGGGGGTCCATGATCCATCGCCATGAGCACCAAAGGGTGGCCACTGAGGCTTGATCTCAGGGTCTGCCGATGTCGCAGCGTCAGGATGGGGGATGTAACTCACCAACTGAACTGTCACAGTGTCGAGGGACCATGCCGCCTTCACCGACAAATAGGAACCGCCCTTTGTCCGATGACTCGTCTCGTATGCCGAGATGTGTAAGGCGACCAACCTTATGAGCTTCTTTTGGTTCAATCTTCAGACGAGACCACGACAGAAGTGGCCGTACAAGCTTCGGTGAGTCGTTTGCTATCTGTGATCTTGGACAAGCCGACCGAGAGTGCCGAGTCAGACTCACCATAAGGCAGGTAATAACGGCAAAAAGTCAAAATTGGAGGAACAATGGCAATATGATTAGCCAAGAACAAAGGCGTCAAAGAGTAAAAGGGTACAGACTGTACACAAAATTATCAGATCCTCTCGACGAATTAAAACCGAGCCGGGAATTTATGCCTCAATGGAACCTCGCACCGTCGCTGCAACCGCCGTCCGTGTCACGGCTATTCGTCCAATCGCCTCGGGGCAGTTCATCAGGGACGCAAAGATCAGTTTGATCAGGAGGTACTTGATAAGATGTCACCACCCTCCATTCCATCTCGCCCTAATCCCCATTACAGTGCCTGCTGCTGCTGCTGCTGCTCCTGCTTCAATGATTATCCACACCACCATTAACATCCATACATGATACCACACCATTCCGCTTCAGCCGCTGCTTCCCCTTCCTTCGTTCCGCCCAGGATACGCCAACATAAGCTCACATGAGATGCCGAATTTTCCCAACCCTGGCCCATCTTGCCTATCCGATAGCTTCTGTCCTTCACCCGTGCCTGGTGAGACTCAAACGGCTCCAGCGAAAAACTTCTCTGGTGGACACAGAGACCCGAAACGCATCTCGTTCAGATCGTCACGCCCCCCAAACCCCAAGCTGCAGTCCAGTTGCTCCTCCCATTCGCCCCCCAAATCCAACAAACTTGCGCAATCAGATCGGCCCTTCATCCACATTCGAACTGATCCAAGTGGAGGCTACCATGTGGGAGACCGGAGAACATGACATATCGCGCCAAGGGGGAGCGCCAGTCCAAGTGCTACCTACTTCACGACCTACGGTAATTGTCGGCGCTCATCACGCCTGGGAGCCTGAGGTACGGATAGCAGAAGTAAGGTGTGAACGCGTTTTTCTTCCCTCCCTCCTTGCAAGGGAGACCTGACCGCCGCCGAGTCAGGGGTACGGGCAATTCGGCCTCCGTGCCGTAATCCTCACTAATAGTTTCCTCTAGGCCTTGCTAGTGGTGAGTTGGAAACGACGCCTGTGTTCGTATCCAGGTGTTTTGTGTCGTATGTTTTGGGAGATGGGCGTAGGTAGATACAGTCAGACGCAGCCATGCATCTCTGCTGTATTCTGCATACCTACCCTACCTCACTGACTGGACAGAGTAAAGATCTCTACAGATCAACCACCGCCAATAAAGGCCTCTGGAATAGTGACACGTCCTGACGACCAAAAGCCGAACCAAATGCTCCAAAGATGCGCGCTCGGCATTGCCCAATCCAACTTGCCAAAAACCCAAAGGTTGCGCAACCGTGTCCACTGACACAGCTGTGGACACCGCCAGTGGAGCTCCTTCCCTGCACAACTGCACTGTCCAGGCCCCCTGCAATTCCCACAGTGATCTCTCCATCCCCGCGTAACTCGCCCAAAGCTGGGAGATGCCCACTCCTCCGACCACACGCCAACGTGAACCGCCCAATCGACATCACGAGCTGCACAACATCACTCTGCAGCAGCCACGCAGCAGAAAGAAGGGACTCATTAACCCAACCACCACACCACACCACACCAAACCTCAGATACCCAAAACCCACGACCGTGACACACTAGTAGAACGCCGCCGGTCCATCCCAACAATTCCCGATCGCAGCTCCCACCGTCACCCTCGCGGCGGGTCCCATCTTTTTTTTCCAGTCTTCATCAACTGGACACTACGACCTTAATCCAGCCTTGCTCCGAGCTAAAACCACCTTACGCCGACGACGACCGACCGAGCCGCACCACTCCGGGCTCCTCATCGTGGGAAAAGAAGGCCAATTGGCAACTGCTTGCGCCGGGAGCACACCACACCCATCACGACGCAGAGCCCGAACGCGGAGCACACCCCCAAAATGGACGTCCAATCCCCCCGCCAGACAGCCGCCTTCCACCTCCCCTCCTCCTCCGGCTCCTCCTCCACCACCGATGCCGCCGCTGCCACCGGCCCCGGAGCCACCGCCGCAGCCGACGACTTCGACGACGACGGCGCCCCGCTCCCCTTCCCCGCCGCCCTCCCGCGCTCCGACTTCCTCGCAAAGGACTTCCACCCAGCCAGCTACCTCTCCGCGCTGCCGCACCGCCACCAGACCCTCGACGACCTCAAGGCCGAGCTGCGCGACCGCAGCGCCGCCATCAGCGCCGAGCTGCTCGAGCTCGTCAACGCAAACTACACCGCCTTCCTCTCCCTCGGCAACGAGCTCCGCGGCGGCGACGAGCGCGTCGAGAACGTCCGCGTCGCCATGCTGGGCTTCCGCCGCGCCGTCGACGAGATCAAGGCCCGCGTGCGCGCGCGCGGCGAGGAGGTCGGCGGGCTGAGCGGGGAGCTGCGCGAGGTCCGCAGGGGGATTGAGGCGGGCAGGAAGATGCTGGAGCTGGATGAGCGGGTGGCGGCGTTGGAGGAGCGGCTGGCGCTGGCGAGCTTGCCGGGGAAGAAGGAGGATGAGGAGTGGGACGAGGATGAGAGTGAAGAGTCGGACGAGGAGGAGGAGGGCGATCATGGGTTGGTGGGGAGCAGTCCAGCCAAGCTGGCTGGGTTTGCGCAGGATTACTGCATCATTGAGGCTTTGGCGGATGCCATTGGGCGAGATGTGCAGTTTGTGGTCAAGACGGAGGCGCGGATGACGAGGTGCCGGAACACGATCCTGCTCGACCTCGGCACGGCGATGAAGGAGGCGCGCAAGGCGGGCAAGAGGGGCCAGCCGAGAGTCGTTAAGTATTTGGGACTGTACGGGCTACTTGATGCCCAGGCGGAGGCGATCAAGGCTCTTAAGAGCAACTGAGCGCGCAGAGAAAAGGACTGGCAGAAGAGTAGCGATGCATATGATACCCAAAAATATCCGACATGTTCTGAAAGCGCTGTGCCGCTGCCACTTTGATACACGTGTAATAAACATACATATGGTACATTTCTTTTGTCATCTAAAGCCCTCCTTTTTGGCTGGGATATAATTCGTACGTATTACATGACGCCAGACAGAACCTGCGGCGTAACCTTCTCGTCCGTCGAGTCAAAGTTGCCGTTCAAGCTGAACCCCGGCCCTTGCGAAGTACTCAGCACCACCTCGTGAACGTCCTTGTGCGTGTCGAGCTGCGCAATGTCCTGCTTGATGTGGCTCACAAACGC